GTAATTATTTGGTTTATGCTTTAGTTTTGGGACAGTTTCATTACTTACCTGGCTGCATCTGTATACAATTAGATGTTGTCAATCATAAGAACATCCTTATTTGGATTAAACCAGGAAATTCTGGGTGATGGGGGAAATGCCATGGCTGCAACTGATCTAGTAACATTTCTGTGTTTCTTCCTTAATGGTCAATCTGCCACTAAGAACAATGTACACCTAATATTGAAGAGGTAACAAAGAAGTCCATTTGTTTTGTGTAGAATTGAGGAATTTTCTTCTAGTCTTCTATTATTACCAACTGGATGAAAATCTTGAAACAAGTATCAAGTTATCTTTATTCTAAATTGTTTCTATTCTGCTTGCTTTTTTGGATTCATGTAAATCATTCTCCTTAGTTAATAATATGTCTCGACAAGTGATTGCTAATTTTCTGATTGTTCTTGTAATCAGTACGATGGAGCTTGAGAAGGGGGAGTTCTTATTGGGAAGTGTTATCAATGCTGTTGTTAGCCAAGTGATGATACTCCTCAGAGAAAGGAACTTACAGCTAATCCGTGATATACCAGAAGAAGTAAAGACTATGGCTGTCTATGGCGATCAAATGAGGATTCAACAGGTCTTAGCTGATTTCTTGTTGAATATGGTCCGTTACGCACCCTCTCCAGAAGGTTGGGTAGAAATACGTGTCTGTCCATTTTTGAAGCAAAATCCAGATGGACATACTCTTGCACACACTGAATTCAGGTATTTTAACTTCCAATCATTCTTCACATATGTTAGAGCTGAAGATACTGAAAACTGAACGAAAGAACATGATGTAAATGCATAGTTCTGTTTCCTTGTTTCAACAATATTGTTAGTTTTGATAGGATTTTTATGTTAGGAATCACGGACTTCCACCATGGTGTGATATTGTTCACTTTGAGCATAAGCTCTTGTAACTTTGCTTTCAGTTTTTCCAAAAAGGCCTAATACCAATGGAGATAGTATTCATTACATTATAAACTTATGATCTTCCCCTTAATTAGCCAACGTGAGACACCCTCCCAACAATCTTCAACAATCCTCTCCTTGAACAAAGTACATCATAGAGTCTCCCCCAAAACCTATGTAGCCCTCAAACAGCCTCCCCTTAATCGAGGTTCGACTCCTTTCTCTGGAGCCCTCAAACAAAGTACACCCTTTATTCGACACTTCAGGATTCTATTGACATGATTAAGTTAAGGGCATGACTTTGATACCATATTAGGAATCACGGACTCTCCACAATGGTATGATATTGTCCACTTTGAGCATAAACTTTTGTGGCTTTGTTTTTGGTTTACCCAAAAGGGTTCATATCAATGGAGATAGTATTCCTTACCTATAAACCTATGATCATCCCCTTAATTAGCTGTTAGCCATCGTGGAACTCCCTCCCAATAATCCTCATGAGATTTAATACTTATAAATGACTTCAATTATTAGATCTTTTCTGTAGCTTTTGGGTCTCTTGTTTTTTTTTTTTTTTTTTTTTTTTTTTTTTTTTTTTTTTTTTTTTTTTTTTTTTT